TATATATATATATATATATATATATATATACACACATACATTTTTAAGATCATCTTCCAGACCATTCCATAATCCTATACCCTGGATTAAACTACCCTGGATTAAACTATACCCTGGATTTAACTATACCCTGGATTAAACTATACCCTGGATTAAACTACCCTGGATTAAACTATACCCTGGATTAAAGTACATCTTTCTTTCAAACAAGTACAAAAATATGGCTTCAAAAATATTTCCATCCCCTTTAGATAATAACAACTGTCTTTCTTAAAGTTTACCTGAATGTTGGAAGGTAATCTGTTTCTGTGAGACTTGTTCATAAACAGTAAAATAGTCAATTAAATCATAGAATTTCAAAATTTTCAGTTCACAAAATGATGTATTTGATGGATGGTTGTAATCTTTTCTTGTGATAATTCTTATAGTTCTTTTTTGCAAAACAAAAATGGATTTGTAATTGTTTTGCAAGCTTTACCCCAGACTTCAACACAGTAAATTAAATGTGGAACAATGATTTAATTGTACAACACAAGCAGAGCTTTGCATTAAATAACTCCCTGACTTTATACAGTACTCCTATAGATTTACATATTTTTGTACTTAAATGATGTATGTGAGGTCTCCATGTCAGCTTGATGACATTTCACCTCACTGACTCTACAGATCTCARWACCATCTACTTTAAATGAAATATCAACAGTTGTCTTCCTGTTACTAAATATCATGCATTTTATTTTATCCATATTTAATAATTTGTTTTGTTGAAACCAATTTTGTACTTTCTTAAATTCTTTCTGTACCATCTCAAACATTTTTTCTATATCTTTACCTAAACAAAAAAATGTTGTATCGTCAACAAATAAAACACATTTGAAAAGTCTTGACACATTTACTAAGTCATTCACATATAAAATAAATATCTTAAGTCCCAGTACAGAGCCCTGAGGGACTCCACATGTGATATTACCAAGTATAGATCTTACACCATTTATCTGTACAAACTGTTTCCTATCTTTCAAACAACTGGATACCCATTGTAGTGCCAACCCTCTAATACCATATTTACTTAATTTTTCAAGAAGAATACTGTGATCACTTGTGTCAAATACTTTCTTTAAATCTACATAAATACTCAAACGTTAACGTCAGCTGCCATCAGTAGTGCTCATAGCCTTGGTTCATGTTTGCCTACATGAAAAGTTATCTTGTATCGTTTGTGGAAACAATCTCAGAAAAGACTCAGATCATCTCCAGGAAACCAGCTGAGCAGTTCTGTCTGCAGGTCCAGCAGAAGCTCCWCTTTCAGACCACAGTAAATAAACTCATTTATCATTTATCCTTACCTTCTGTGTGTGTTTGTTCCTTTTCAGCTGCCTTACAGACATCAGCCTAGAATCCTGACGCATGCTAACAGATCACAGACCATAGATACATTAAAGTTGATGAAATCAGCAGAGCTGCAGCCTCTATCTAAAGTGGAGGTGCAAACTCATTTTGCCTATATATTCTTTAGTTTAAATTATTGATTAAATCATTTATTCCTATTTAGATGCAAAACATTTAGATTCCTTCATGCGGGCTGTTTTTAGACTCAGATAGTGACGTAAAACCCGACAGAACTCTGGTCTTTTTTTGTTTTTTTGTAATAAAAACGACCAGATTTGAAACTTTTGATGTGTACAGATGTGTAAAGAAAACTACAGTATATCTAAAGAGATGTTGAAGATGCTGTCACGTTGTTCAGTATGATCACTTTGGTAACCACATATCTGTGTCTCACTCCCTGATGGCACTCTTAACACAGACACAAACATGGACTGGAATGTAAGCATCAAACAGCCACTGTGAAAACCACTTCTGGTTTTAAATAGAAAATTCAGGACTTGAGAAAAACGATTCCATACATTCATCTCTATCAGGCTAAAACAAACAAACAAACAAACAAACAAACAAACAAACAAACAAACAAA